GTTTGTTGGATCTTAGAAAACATGATAGTTAATAACTGAATGCTTTTCGAATGAAGTGATTTATTTTTATAAGAAATGTTCCATCTATTGAATGTCAGTCTTATGAAGAATTTTATTCCTTTTTGTTTGTTTCTATCACTCGTGATAATCTATCAGCCGATAAACGGCTAGCTTTGTCGATCAATAAGCAACCAGCCGTTTGCTTGTGTATAGATTTAGTCTTGTTATTTATTTGCACCTGAAAATAGGAGTTTTTCAATGCTGGATTAATCGAATCAACTATACGCGTACCAGGAAAGTTTATTGTCTTAGTTTTAATTTCATCAACGCTTTGTGTCATTGCCATATCTCTATTCTAGATATGGATATACTGCGAGAAACAATTCTCAGAAACAGGAAACACTTTTGTAATCTCTATATGATAAGTTTTGTTTTTTGCATGTTATAGAAGTTTCATGTAATTTCTATAAGGTTTTTTGATACTCATAGAATCTGCGTCTTGAAGTCTTGTGAAGTCTTATGAAGTTTTGTGAAGTCTGGCGAAGTCTTGTGAAGTTTTATGAAGTCTTGCAAAGTCTTATAAAGTCTGATGAAGTCTTATAAAATCTCAAGAAGTCCTACAAAGTCTCTGAAGTCTAACAAAATCCGTGAAGTCTGTGAAGTCTCACGAAGTATTTGGAAGTCTTTTGAAGTCCCATGAAGTCCTATGAAGTCATACGAAGTCTTATGAAGTCTTGTGAAATCATTAGAAGTCCTATGAAGTCTTCAGAAGTCTTGTAAAATCATTTGAAGTCCTATGAAGTCTTCAGAACTCTTTAGAACTCTTTTGAAGTCTTGTGAAAATATGAAGTCACTGCGGTTGAAGTCCGTTGAAGTCTGTTGAAGTCTTTTGAAGTCTTGAAGTCCTCTGTTTCCCCCTTGATTTTCTCAAACCTATGTTCTGTGCTAAATTAAAGGTGATATATATTAATAGTTTTGATGAGAAAATAAGATTGTTTGATCGTCTCAAGAGTAATCAAATCATTATTGAACAGTTCTCGAATAACAATGTGATCAACAGTTTGCAGCAATGCTTAGAAGTATTCTTACACAAGTTTTCACTGAAAGAATGAAATTGCGAAAAACAAACACCGATTTCTTCTGACAACGAAACTGATGTTTATGTTTCACTTAACAGACGAAAAGTAGAAATCCATTTGCGTATTAGTAATGTAAAGCACACAAAAATTGAGAAGAAGAAATTGAAAGTGAAACGTAGGTGTCCATATGAATGTGCGCGTGGGTGTGGGTGTGGGTGTGGGTGTGGGTGGGTGTGGGTGGGTGTGGGTGTGGGTGGG